TTTTAAAAAATCAAAACAATAATGAAAAACATTATCTCTAGGTGCTATGGCCCAAAAGGCACATGGGACGTGCCCCAGGGGTTTGGAGTGGCCCCAGACCACCTGGGGATCCCGATAGCAGATCGCACCAGCGGTGCTTCCTTCTCAGGCCTAGCCCCAGCCTCAGGCCTAGCCCCAGCTCGCCCCTCTGTGGCTGTGAAGCCCAGACCCACACATCTCTGCGGGCAGTTGCAGCCTGAGGTTGGAGCACAGGGTAGAGAATGGACCAGACAGTGCAGGGAGAGGGTTGTCATGTGCCAAGAGATCTGCTATGTGATCTGAGTTCACAGGTTTTCCCTCACCCTGCGCTTGATCGGTATCTTTTGGCATTGTGCTTTTATTTTAACATTACATAATGCCATAAGAGTATATATCTGGAACATTACCTTAAATTATTTCTCCACTTGGAAATAAAGCTGAAGATACTTTTTCCAAAGCCTGTGAATTTATTTTATAATAGTACCCACATGTTTTCTGAGAGAACATGCTGTTAAAGATTTTGAGAATAGTGAGGGGAACAGAGGCAATGAAAACATTGTTTTTCCTGCACAGTGTCACTGTCTTTTTTTTTTTTTAAGATAAAGTAGTTTAATTGGAAAAAAGGTTGAAGGACAAAAGTGAACAGTCCTTAAAATAAGCCCTAAGCACTTCTTTAAAGTAAAAGTACTAGCCTTAAATAGTTTTAAAATAATAAATATGATTTAATCACAAACCAATAAAATAAGTATTTAATTAAACATAAATTTGTCAGGGAAATATATGGTTTTGATATGGTCTTATTTCCAAGGATCAGCTTGAAAAATTAGTGCTAAAATGTAGTGAAACAACCCAAAATTTGGACAATAGATATGATACTCTATTCTGAAATGTGTTTAGCTAATATAGATTGCATTTCTTTTTTTCTGAAGAATGTCATTTAATAAAAATTACAAAGGAAGTACAAAGTCCTTAGTGAAAAGCTCAAAAGTAATTCATGAAAACCCTTCAATTTTTAGCCTTCCTATTGTAGTAACTTACTTGTTGGGGTGAATAAATGACCTTTGTCAAATGTGAGGCCTCATACCATATCTTTTTCATTTATGTCTTTTAGTTTTCTTGGAAATGCCACCCACTAAAAGCAAAGTCTGATTGTTAAGTCACTATTAAGACAGAATCCAACTGTGTTTTTTCTGAATTATTTTTAAATTACTTCTTGCATTCTATACACAAATACTACACTCTGATATTTTAAAACTGTTAAATAACAGAATTTCTATAATGGGCTTCTGCTTATTTTGTGTGTATGAAAGCTGCTTTGCTTGTTCAATTATTTGTTATATACAGAAGTGTATGGACCTAAGAAAAATACCCCAAGATGCTGTCTATTACGGAATTTAAAAGAATGAGCCTGACAGTAACTTTCTCAAGGAGAAGTATCAGAAACTAGTTTCCACCCTGAGGACAGATTATAGTTATTGTGTGATAGACGCCTTTCCTGTTTTTAAACACACTGTGTCTGTGCTAAAATACCATCTGGCCTGTATGCCTCGAGACCACCTTCCAAGAAAAGGAGGTCTTTTGGGTACTTAAGAATGTAAGCTTTTTTGCATGAAGTTCAAGATGAACTGTTTTTATTTCACAATCCACTTACAGAGTATAGTGTCCAAGTTTAGCCTTGGATGTATTGAGATTGTCATAGTCTGATCATGTATTGACATTTAAGTTTTTCTGGAAATATTGTCTCCACACCTTTTTGTCTCCATACCTTTTTATGTATGCTAGAGAAAGCGCACCACACAGGGAAGCTAGTAATCATAGGGAGAGAAATGACAGCCCCGCCCAGGCAGTAAGAGAAACAAAAGAGTGAGCTTTCGGGCTCCGGAGGCGGCAAGCAGAGCTCACATCGTAGCTCTGCAAGATACGTAAGGTTTCACTGTATTGTGGATGTAACAGTCCATCATCGTCTTGTGAGGATTAAATATGTAGATGCATATAATGCATCTGACATGTTGTAAGCGATCAATAAAAATGAGCTATTATTACAGTCTGAGAATTTCAGCTACTTATCCCACTGCCTACAGAGACAGGATGAGTGATGAACTAAATAGGGGCTGGATGTTTACGTTTGAAAGAGGCTTCTAGAATCTAAATCCAGGTGGCCTCACACCCATTTTCCTTGTCCCACCTGTCCGTGATGTAAACTCTTCACTCGTCCAGCCTGTGTGCCCTCTCTGTTATCCCATCCTGATGGTCATCTGTGTACCTTGTTCCCTTTTCCAAATTCCCACTACTCCCCTCCTTCTGCCATCCTCCCACATCATGAGGAAGAAACTCAACTGTGTTCTCAACCTCTTCTCGGTCACCAACCTCCCCTGCGCTCTCAACGTGTTGTCACTCCCTGCTGAGTTCTCTTAGGCAACTCTATCTCATTCTCCACTGTGCTATTTCAGACCTTTTTCAGTTTTTTCAAAATGCCTGTCCTCTCACTTTCCTTCCCTCCCCCAGTAAGTAACCTTGCAACCTACTTCACAGTAAAGTTAGAAATAGGGACGCTTCTGATATTTAAAAATATATAAACCCATTGTTTCTTCATTTCCCCATTTTCATGAAAAAGGTATCCTTTCACTTATCTACCTGTGCTCTTGATCTTTCTTTCACAGGATCCATCAGTAATTCCCTCTGTTTTTTCTCTACTTTTAACCTCTGCCTGGATATTGTCCCTGTTAGCGTTGAACATTGTTCATATTACTCATCTTTTCAAAGCAAACCCCCCTCTTCTTGTTCCTTCCCCCTCATATCTAAACTCTTGAAAGAGATGCACATTCTCTGTCTCTCTTCTCTCAAGTTCTACTCACTCCTCACCCACCACAGCGTGGTTTTGGATCCTCTCCCTCCACTAGAACTGCTGTCACCAAGGTCATTGGCATCGTATGTCTGAATTCAATAAAAATTCATAGCTTGCCTGATGTCTTAACTGCTTGTGACATGACTGACCACTGCTTCCTTCTAGAAGCCCTCTGTGCTCTTCACTTCCATGACCTTTTCTCTTGGGTTCCTTTCTGCCATTCTTTTTACTCCTTTCTGAGGCCTCTTGCTTCTTCCTCTGCCCACTTCTTAAACAGGTCTCTCTTGGGCGACCTCTTTTCAACTCACTTGACATATTTTTTCACCATCTCACCTAATCCTATTGCCCCCGCTCACCTTTCTGCAGCCATTTCTCCCAAGTTTGTGGGCAAGAGCTCTCCTGAGCTTCAGACCCGTATCTCTAATAGCTTAGTGAACACCTTCTCTAGTATGTATGGAAGGCCAGGCTCGACGTGTCTAAAACTGAACTCCTGATCTTTATTTGCACCATCACAGCCTGCTCCTCTTCCAGCATTCCCTTCTCTCAGTTATCTTTTTAGAGATACCAAAACCGAGGCTCAGGGAATTCCGAGAGTCCTCCGAGGGTACATTCAGTCTAGTGGCGGGGCTGGGATTCAGGTGTTGGTCTCATCAGTCTGAGGCCCATGCTTTCTCCACCACATTAGACTGCCGCTCCGAGGGAGGGCCTCTGAGCAAAGGGGCTACTGTGTCACTTAAACGATTTATTCTAATATTTTTGAAGGACTTTTTAAAAGTCCTTCATATCTATATCAATGATAATATAATATACAACATTTATATGATACTTCCTGTTTTTCAAGGTATTTTTATTTTTCCTTATCGCATTATCCTGTGGCCACTAAGTAAGCCACAGAGCTTACTTACAAACCATTTGAGAGTGGAGAAAACTGCAATATTAAAGTTAAGGGATTTTTACCATGATTTCATAGCAATATAATGGTAGGTATAGGCAAGATTTAGTTCTCTTAATTTTTAGTCTGGTATTTTTTCCACTATGCCTGTGAAAAACTTGTTTGCGTTCCTTTTTAAGTATTGAGTTTAAGAGCTTAAGTCCAAGTAAAACTAGAAAATTTTTAAGTTCTCAGACAAAATGGTACAGATTTATTAGTACTGATAATGTCATTGCTAAAAAGTGAAAAAGTAAAGAGAACAACAGGGAATAAACTAAAAAGTGTTATGTGTCTCATTAAGTAATCAATTCTTTTTATTTGTCTAATTTTATGCAAGTGAAAAAAGGACACCCAACCGCAAAGTCCCTGAGACACTATTCAAATTCAAATACTTCTGAAAGAGAAAAATATGACTTTATTCTTTGCAGCCTATGAAAAATCTGTTTTTGTTTGTTGCATTATTCTTGATGGTATCTATGTTTTGTAATTATCAAGGAAGTAATAATGAAAATGGAAAAAATACTTTTTTGTGTTGTTCTCTCATTTCATCGCTGAAACAAAATATATTCCCCTTTTTTCCAAAAGTCAGCTGGGTTTTATCAGCTTTGCAAAATGATGAATGAATGCCTTCCTTGTTCATTATTATTGTTTAAGTCATTCTTATTTATGCCAGTAATTCAAGGATTATGTTTCGATTGTTCTTGAGAGATGAAAACACTTTCTTGCTGATGAATAAACACTGCCACTTTTTAAATATTTGTATGCAAAATGCCTTTAAAGCCACTACGAAATCCTTTGCAAGAGCATTAGGAAACTGTTTTTTGAAAGGCACTTTTTTTCTACCTTTTATTTCATGCTAAGCAGTCCAGTTGAAAGGCCTTTCAGAGTTAACTTGTTTAAGCAATACCAGTGTTTTAGTGTAATGAATAACTTTTTATAGGAGACAATCACACACAATTCAACATTGCGGTATTTCTGTTTCTTTGCACCACCAATGCAGGGATTCTGCTGTAGAATCTCTTTCTTTGAGAAAGCTGGAGCGATCAAAACCCCGATTGACCTCTGATATTCACGTGGCGCTCTTGATCTTGAGGGCAGCAGCAGTAACAAAGCGTTAATGGCAGCCATATGCTTAGGGTATTGTGGGTACGGGTGACGCACATGTGAACTTGGGGGGTGACTGATGCTAACTGCTATTCGTTTCAGGTTTGGTGTGGAGATTACTGATGAAGAGTTTGAGGTCTGAGTTGCTGCTTCACAGAATCCTCCCTGATGAAGACGAAAATGTCGGATACATGCTGTTCACGGCCATGTTTGATTCTCGGTACTCCTTTTTCGCATTTTATCATCCCCTAGTAGTTTTCTGTTCTTGTTGTTTTAGTACAGAAAATGGCCCACCCCCAAGAGTTAGGGTTATTTCAAATTTTTCTTTATTTCTTTGTATCTCATTTATTAATATTTTATCAGTGACAAAGATTTTGAAATGGTGATGTTAACAAAAAATCTTCTAACATTGATCCATAATTCGTTTAAAAGTTTTACCATCTCAGCATCTGAAAAGTGGACGTGGGGGGCGGTGTACTGGAGATAACAGAGGGAGGGGTGTCAGCTGTGTTTGTGGAATTGGGAAGGGAACAGCTGTGAGTGGAAAAAGTCAGGTCCTGGAGATGAACGTTCCCACGTCGCACCTAATGCATTTCCATGTGCATTGGCCTTCTGCTCTCTCACTAACCTCCCATTACCATCCGTGTATAGGACTTCTCACCACCTCCTGAAGAGCTCTAGCTCAGAGAGTGGGGTACACGGCAGTTGTCAATGGTTGTGTTAAAGCAGAGCAAGAATGCTTTCTAAATATTCCTAATTTGTGTTCTCTGTCATGGACCCCAAAGTTATACTCTTTTGAGCAATTTGTTTATAGATTTTACAGAGTAAGTCAAGGCTGAACTATTTAACATTCTGACCAGTATTGACCATTTTATTGCTCAGATATCTGGAGGGCTATTGCAATCCCTGATGTATAAGGTTTTTAGCTGAGACCACAGAAAGGTGGGCTCCTTCTTCTTAAAGATGCTTCTGTTCCCCAGGGCCATTTCGGGGAGTACCTATGTCCGTCCTGCACATCTCTGCACTGTCCTCCAACTCTCATGCCTTTTACCTGGGAAGCCCACCCATCACTTCCTGTTGGCTCTGGATGCAGAGTGCACAGTCACCAACCTGGTTTGATTTGAAGGTCATGGCAAAACACACTTCTCCAAAATTATTTTCCATCATACCTACCACAGAACCTGAAATTTTTACCTTAAGGGACCCAGTTCTTTGAGTCAGAAGGTACTGATTCTCAGAAAAAGCTGCTGAGATACTAATATCTCTGAGGAAGGTAATACTTTAATTTGTCAGTCATTAATGCTTAGTTCAACACTTCCCAACTAGTATATGGGAGGAATACTAGTGGCATAATAGGGTGGCCAAAGCTCTCACAGTTAAAAAGGTTCCCGAGGCCAAGTAAGTCCAATGAATTCCTTTCCTGAAAGACTTCTAATAGTCTTTTACATTGCCAGTGCGTGTTGTGAATCTTCCAAAGTGAAGACACAGATCATTAGACAAATAGTTTATTTCAAAGATGATCCCAGGAAACGCTGATAGGGTGTCTGGGAAGTGAGGCCGTGAGAGGAAGAGGCCGGTACAGGAGGATGCGTGAAGGAGGGAGTCATTGGAACCCACCTCGGAGCTGTGCTGGCCGGGAAGGAGGGAGCTGGAGTAGGCAGACACAGGCACCGGCGGCCACCCGCCGTTGGTCCGGGGCTCCCTTTACAGTGAACACCCTGGCTCAGCACAGCAGCTGGCTGAGCACATCCTCTGGCAGGAGCGGAGGGGCTCGCAGCAGGAACCCGGAGCCTGGAGGACGCACTGGTGGGCCTTGTCTAAGATGGGCACCTGTTGTGTTGGATTTAGCCTAGGGCGCCTCCCAGACCAATCTGACCTTTCATCTGACCCTGGAGGCCAGGGTTCCACAGAACATAATTGGGGAAAGCTACCTTAGTTACTGTAGATAAGTTAATTTGATAAACAGTTTTGATTTTAGAAAGTCAAGATCAGGTGCCTGAGAGAATGAAGTGAAGAGAAGGACAGAGTTTTAAAAACTGTGTGGAGCCTACAGAGAAAGACACAAGCAGGGTGCTGCAGGGAGTATCCTAAGCACCCAGGAGTGGGGTGGAGGGGAAGGGGCTCAGGGTGAGGTGTCCGTCCACACCAGCAGAAAGGTTAGGTGCCCAGAGTGAGGTGCAGGGGCGCAGACAAGAGTCGCCCTTGGCCTGGCCCCTTCCCTTCAGTTTTAGGTGGGTAAGCGTTAATGACAGGGGGCAGCGCTTTTCATCCTTTATATTCTTGATTTCAGATTCCAGATAACAGACTATGACTTCACTGTCAATATTTACAAGTGCCTCTATTATCTGACATTTGACATATCTTACCTTGTTATTATTCCCATTTTTCACATGGGACATGAATGTCTAGAAAGTCTGAGTGATTTAAGCAAATTATATAAGTCCGTGTCTGGTTGCTCACAAATTTCCTTGGAGGGAGGATGCAAGAGTTTGTTCTCACGTGTTCTCTGACAATAACAGTAACAATAGCTAACACTCAATGCCTACGGTTTGTCAGGCACTACATGTTAACCCATTTCACTCTTACGACAACCCTATCAGGTATTTTATATGTGAGAAACCTGAGGCCCAGAGTGTCAGCTGCCACTGTCCGCGAGCTGGCGGTGGTAGCCAGGAGGCAAGCCCGGGCCAGCTGACTCCAGGACCCCCACACCTCACACCGCTCTGCCTCTCTGGGCAGGAGGGAGCAGTTGCATCCGCGTTACCAGTGCGGTTACATGGGGCTGTGGAGCACACAGAGAAAAAATCAGAGACTCTAAGAAATTCATCTGTTCTCACAATTCATTATTCTTATTATTAAATTCAGAACTGAAATGTTACATAAGTATGAAATACCAGATTTCTAGAACCTAGTATTAAAAAAGAATGATTTTTATACAGGTTACATGTTGAAATGATAATATTTGGGGTATATTGGGTTATATAAAATGAATTATTAAAATTAACTTTACCTTTTTAAAAAGCCATTAAAAATGCACAGTGGACACTTTTAAATTATTTAAGTGGCTTGCAGTGCACTCTTATGGGACAGAGCAGAGTTAGACAGCGGATCTCGTTAGAGCGGGCGGTGAAGTGGGAGGAAGGAGTTACTTCAGCTACTGTCCGACCCCGAGTCAGTCAGTTCTTAAAGTCTCTGCGCCTTAGTTTCTCCATCTGTAAAATGTGATAGGGAACTTAAACTTTGCTCGCAAGTTTAATTTAATTAACAAATCGAGCAAAAGTAACTCCAAATGATTTTACCCAATGTTTACAGGAGACTAGACAATTATTTGGGAGAGCAGGAATAATGTAAATAAATTGCTTATCAAGATTAAATATAAATGTGAAGATTTACCTGTTATTTTCTTTTAGCGAATACACAACTTTGCACTCCAGGCACTGATCCCCAAACGAAACATTTGTGTCGTGGGAAGTTCGCTGTCATTTCTAGCTTTACAGTTTTATTTGAATGAGGATCATGTACGTTAGCCTGGGCCGGTAAGGTGGCAAGGGCAGCATTGTGATCTCCATTTTACAGATTTAAAAACGACTCGAAGAGGTTCAGATGCAGGGCTGAAACTTCTGGTGCCAAGGCCAGTGGTGTTCAGCTCGGATTCCTGTTGGGAATGAAGGGGCAGCGGGTCAGTGGGAGGAGGTCAGTTAAAGCTTGTGTGCTTTCCTTTGACGTGAGGAGTTACTCCGTCCGGCCAGTTTTGGCAGAGAGCAGAATCCCAGAACTTGCACTGTGAAGTTTGCCGTAACCGTGATGTTGCCACAGTGGTGCCTTCACAGGAACAAGTGCACACGTATAACCACTTCGACTGGATGAGAGGTTCAGACAGTCCACGCAACCCATGTTTTTCTTGGTTACTTGTTGTCATTATTTTTTAAGTTAGCAAAGCAATACATTCTTGTAAAAATCCAAATAGTCCAAAGAACAGAGGGGAATGCCCCCTGCACCCTCCCCCCAGTCTAGCTTCAGCAATAACCTGTTGATTATCCATTTTAGCAGAAGATAGCACATTAAATATTTTCATTCTAAAACTGTTCACAAATTGTCATAGTGTTCTACATGAACCTTTACTGTGGGTAGAAAAACATCCTTTAAAAACACCGTGTGTATACAGTTTGTCGTTTGCCCTTTGTATTGGTTACGAGTACACCTCCCATCTTCATTCAAGATGACAGTTCTACTAAAATTGTATGTAATTTCAAAAATAATGTTTTTTGCAAAGACTAAAGAAAAACTGGTCTAGAGCAGTGGTATTCTGCAGAGATATTTGTCAGAAAAATCAGATTTCATCCATATCACAGCTTCATTTTGAGCTGAGAGCCTGGGTTATTATATGGCTTAGAAAGGTTATCTGTTTAGTCATGAGTAAATTGACTCCCCCGAGGGCCCACACAATTATAGAAGCTCTTGTTTTTGTTTAGATGTGTTTTGGAAAGCAGAGAAGTGGTTTATTTAGAATATTAATAACCCTTGGAAGACAAATAATTAGGTCAGGATGGTGGTCAGGGTATAGTTTCTTTATCATTTTTAATTCACTTACCACAAGCCATTTGAAGTGTGAACATAAGCGTATTTATCCTATACACATAATTACATAAAAATCACACACAGTTTTCTTCTTCATAAAAGTTGCTTTCCTTCTGTGAAGAGTAACCACCATGAATAAGTTAGTGGGACCCGCGAGGGGTTCCACAGCATAGTGCGCCATAAACCCCTCCTTGCTGGGGGGGTGTTTGAGTCATGCCGAATGGGGAAACCACTGCTGTCTCCCCATCATAACTTAGGAAATTTTGGAAGTTTGTTGACAAATTCTCTAATTCTGAACATGTTAACTGAGAGCAAGAGGACAGAATTTGCAAGTCAAGTGACGGAAGAATCTATTGTCAGACAATTAAAACATCTTCACCGGGACCTACCGAGCTAACCTTTGTGTGGTCTTGTTCTCAGATGGAAATGGCTCCTGGAGGCAGTTGACAGCGTGGATTTTGAGCTGACACTAAATGTGTGTGGGAACTTGCAAAAACAAATCCAAGAAAAGATTTAGGATCAGGGTTTTCTTTGCCACTTTTTTACCATGATGGGGTGGGAGTGGGAGTGGGAGCTGAGGCCAGGGGCTGGGGGCGGCTCCAGAGGGAGAGGTGACATTAGAGATGCTGGTAAAAGTTAGTC